ATCTCCCCATTTGTTTATTTATGTCAGTTTTCAAATGTTGGACTGTTATTCCTGACCATTAGCTATGTTTGCTGGCACTGATAGTCCAATAATATCAGAAGCTCATTCTCATTTCTGACACTTTCGCACTGTCCAGTAAGAAAAGGGCTCTGGGAAGCAGAGAAGAAGGAGGGACAGATGGCTGACACCTGTCCCTACTTCTGGTTTTGCTCCCAGCCAGAGGGTGCCAGGGAGTCTCGTCAGTCGCCCCTCCGGCCTGACGGTGCTGTTGCTTAATGCCAGGTCGGTCAATAACAAATCTGCCCTCATCCAGGACCTGATTGTGGATGAGGGGGCCGACCTGGTCTGCATAACGGAGACCTGGGCGGGAGGGGGGGGGATGTTGCCCTCTCCCAAGTGTGCCCGCCCGGGTACATGGTCCAGCACTGCTCACGGCCGGAGGGGAGGGGAGGGGGGGTCGCTTTGGTTTACCGAGCCTCCATCTCCCTCACGGGACTTCCGGTCCCTTCGAGACCAGGGCTGGAGTGTCTCTATTTGGTGTTGGGCGACCGAGACAGACTGGGGATTCTGTTGGTGTACCGCGCACCCTTCTGCCCAACAGTCTCCCTGCCTGAGCTGACGGAGACTGTCTCGGACCTGGTGTTGAGGACCCCCAGGATGTTGGTCCTGGGGGACTTCAATCTCCATGCCGAGGCTAGTCTGACCGGGGCGGCTCAGGACTTCATGGCCTCCATGACGGCCATGGGGCTGTCTCAACATGTCACCGGCCCCACGCATGAACGGGGACACACTCTGGACCTGGTTTTCTCGACGGGGCAGGAAGAGGGTGGTCTGAGGGTGAGTAATTTATGCTTGACTCCCCTGTCATGGTCAGATCACTTCCTGGTGAGGTTTATGCTCGAGAGCGACTTCTCCCTCTGTAAGGGTGCGGACCCGATTATGTGGGTCCTCCCCCGGAGCCGGATGGATCCAGAAGGATTCCTGAAGGCCCTGGGGGAGTTTCCGGCTGACAAGACGGGTGCTCCTGTCGAGGCTCTGGTCGAACTGTGGAATGGGGAGATGACCAGGGCTGTAGACACGATCGCTCCTAAGCGTCCTCTCCCACCGGGCAGAGCCCGCTCTTCCCCTTGGTATACTCCTGAATTGAGGGCGATGAAGCAGGTTGGGAGACGACTAGAGCGTAGGTGGAGGAAATCACGAGATGAATCTGACCGAACACACTTAAGAGCCCACTATCGGGCCTATGCTGTGGCGGTGAGGGCGGCAAAAAAGAGATTCTTTTCCGCTTCCATTGCCTCCTCACAATGCCGTCCGGCGGAGCTCTTTCGAGTGGTGCAAGGCCTGGTCCGTCCAGGTCCAAAGGAAGACCTGATTCCACCCTCAAAGACCCGCTGTGACGACTTTGCCAGGCATTTCAGGGAGAAAATCACTCAGATTCGTCACGAGCTGGACACCACTATTGATTCAGAGGTTTCAAAGGAGACACCAACGCTGCCGTCTGGTCCAGATTTATTGGATGAATTTCAGTTATTGCGGCCCGATGATGTGGACAAGGTGCTTGGGCGAGTACGTCCAACCACTTGCCTTTTGGACCCTTGCCCGTCTTGGTTAATAAATGATTCCAAGCACGGGATTGGAACCTGGATCTTGGAAGTGGTTAACGCTTCTCTGAGGGAGGGTCGGGTGCCTGCCCCTTTGAAGGAGGCGGTAGTCCGACCGGTCCTGAAGAAGGCGTCACTGGATCCAGAGATGGCCACTAATTATAGACCAGTGGCCAACATCCCGTTTCTGGGCAAGGTGTTAGAACGAGTGGTGGCGGGACAACTCCAAGCACTCTTGGATGAAACTGATTATCTGGACCCATTGCAGTCCGGCTTCAGACCCGGGTACGGTACTGAATCTGCCTTGGTCGCCCTGTATGATGACCTGTGCAGGGAGAAGGACAGGGGGAGTGCGTCCCTGTTGGTTCTGCTGGACCTCTCAGCGGCTTTCGATACCATCGACCATGGTATCCTTCTGGATAGGCTTGCGGGATTGGGGGTTGGAGGCACTGCTTTGCAGTGGTTCCGCTCCTATCTCAATGGCCGGTTTCAGAAGGTGGTGCTGGGGGACTATGGCTCTGCGCCATGGCAGCTATGCCATGGAGTACCGCAGGGGTCCATTTTGTCCCCTTTGCTGTTCAACATATACATGAAACCGCTGGGAGAGGTCATCAGGAGGTGTGGGCTGTGGAACCATCAGTACGCTGATGATACCCAGCTCTACCTCTCGTTTTCCACCAATCCAGGTGAGGCAGTGGCTGTGCTGAACCGGTGCCTGGCCGAGGTAATGGGCTGGATGAGGGCCAATAAACTGAAGCTCAATCCAGACAAGACGGAGGTCCTGTTGGTTGGTGGATCGGGCTTCGGAGAGGGTGAATTGAACCTTGTCCTGAATGGGGTTGCACTCCCTCTTAGGGACAAGGTCCGCAGCTTGGGAGTGCTCCTCGACCCAGAGCTTTCACTGGAAGCTCAGGTAACAGCAGTGGCGAGGAGCGCTTTCCTCCAGCTTCGGCTAATTCATCAGCTGCGCCCCTATCTGGAGAATGACTGCCTTGCGACAGTGACACATGCGTTGGTGACTTCCCGTTTGGACTTCTGCAACGCGCTCTACGTGGGGCTACCCTTGAAGACGGTCCGGATACTTCAATTGGTCCAAAATAGAGCTGCCAGGCTGCTGACGGGGACTGGACGTTATGTTCACATGACTCCAGTTCTCCGTCAGCTTCACTGGCTTCCCATTGAAGTCCGGGCCCAATTCAAGGTGTTGGTTATGACCTATAAAGCCCTAAACGGCTTGGGTCCTGGTTACCTGAAGGAGCGCTTACATCCTTATATGCCCAGCCGCCCCCTGAGATCGGCGGGAGAGGCCCTTCTCCGGGAGCCCTCCATGGAAGAAGTTAGGAGGGTGGTTACTCGGAGGAGGGCTTTCTCAGCGGTGGCGCCTAAGTTATGGAATGCGCTCCCCAGAGAGGTCCGCCTGGCGCCGTCGTTATTTGTTTTTCGGCGCCAGGCGAAGACCTTTTTATTTAAGCAGTATTTTAAATGTTAATATTATTGAATTTTTTTTGGCCAGGGCGGCTTGTTTTATAGTGTATATTTGTATTTTATTGTATATATTTTAAAATGTTATTTTAATTTTTTGTTGTAAGCCGCCCCGAGGCTTCGGCGAATGGGGCGGCATAAAAATGTTTTAATAAATAAATAAATAAAGCATACAAAACAAGTATGAATGAATGAATGAATGAATACCTGCAAAAAGAAAACCTTAACATTTCATGTAATATAAAATCAGCCTTGAAGGTTAAAAGTAATATAACAAAATTTGCAACAGCAGCAGAATTTTTATAGGTTTTAAAACATCAAAAATATCCAGGTCCTAGCAAGTTTCTTCTACGGTAGTATGTGAAATAAACAGTAGGCCTAAGGGGTGATATAGATCAGGAGCCTTGTGGGGCTGAGAGAGCCCTAATACTCTGTTCCCTAGATTGGGCCACCCTGCTATTTGTATCAGAAGGAAAGCTCCAATTGGCACCAGTATTAACTTGGCCTTTTGTGGCTAATTATTAAATTATTATTAAATTGGGGTTTATGTTAGAAGCCCATTTATTTTTATACTCTAGCTTTGAGACTGAGTTTTTTTTGGAAACAATATTTTATATAAGTATACTGCCATGAAATATGTGTAACCTAAAAATAAATCTAACTGGGATTATTCTAGACATTTTTGTATGCATGACCCAGGGTGACAAACATGTATGGAATGCGTTACTTTATATACATCGCCATGTGTCAGACTGGAGGACACAGGGCAGAAAAATGGATTCCAGGGTATTGGCTGGCACTCCTAGCCAAATTATGTTAAATTGGTAAAGTGATTTATGAAATCTTCTCATTTGAAACTATGAATTAAATAGCTATCAATTATTGCTCTGTCATCATGCAGGCTGTTGGCACTGTATAAATAATAAGATAAAGAACAAGTTCAAGATCCCTTCACGCATCATAATGGCATTGATGTGTAGAGCAGTTTGTCCAGTAAATGTTCCCATTGATCCAAGTATCCAAATACTTGATCCAAGTCCCCACTGGACATTTTGGAGTTCCATCTGGTAGTGACACAGAAACTGCCAAAAGCAGCAGAGGTTACCCACACAATGGCATGCTGTATTATATGATTTATATTTATCTCTTTTATATCTAACTCAGTATTTGATTCACTGAGATTCTTCAGGGAGATAGCATAAAAAGGTTCCTTAATCCCTAACAAGGAGGAAAGCTGATAGTGATGCAAAGGTGGCTACTTGAGCTACATGTTACATTTACTATATTACGCAAATAATCCACATGTTACTGTTATGAACTCTGAAAGTTTCCTCTCCATGTTTTTTCTGAATCTTTCCTAGGAGAGGAAGAGAAAACTGGAAAGAACACTGGCCTTCATGGTGTAGTGGCAAGGCCCTCTTTCTCACAGGTCTCATGACCACACCCCCAAGGGTAGTTGTTGACCCATATCAACAAACCAGTACTAGCAGTTTTCATCCTCACTAGGAGTATACTGTTTGTAAATTTAAAGGTCTTGTTTGCCCATTCATGGCCAAGCTGCTCCCAAATAGTTGCAGGACCAAGATTCTGGGCACCAAGATTTAAGAAAGATGCAGAAAAATTAGAAAGGGTCTAGAGGAGGGCAACAAAAATGATCCATGGTTGGGAAACACTGCCCTGTGAGAAGACACTGACAGTACTGGGCATGTTCAGTCTTGAGGAGAGAAGACTGAGGGGGGACATGATACCTCTCTATCAGTACCTCAAAGGCTGTCACAAAGAGGAAGGTCTCTTCTCACTGATACCAGAGTATAGGACACGGAATAATCAAGTCAAGCTGTGACAACCCAGACTCAGGCTAGACAGTGGAACCAGCTGCCTAGAGAGCTGGTGGGCTCTCCCACACTAGAGACATTCAGAAAGCAACTGGACAGTCATTTGAGTGGGATGGTGTAATGTGGTGTCCTGCAACAGCAGGGGGTTGGACCTGATGGCCTTCATGGCCCCTTCCAGCCCTACTATTCTATCATTCTATGAGGACATGGGGGGTAACCTATTATTGCTGGGGGAATTCCTGAGTTCCAGCGAGTCCTGACTCCACTATGCCATTGGCAAAGCATTAGGGGCAGGCTTCTGGACACCTCTCTCCCTCTTTTGCATATCTCTGCTTCTCTCTCTGTTCAGTGGCTGATTTTCCAGCTCCAATTGAAAATTAGATGCTTCAGATTGTACACATGTTTGTGCACATCCACCCCTTAATGAAATAATGTTTGTAAACAGTTTTTGAAATGTACATGTTTTTCTTTGCACATTTTCTTGATGAGTTTTTCCTGTCTTTCTGTGGAATGCACCGCCAGTTTGGGGAGATACTGAATTCCAAAAGGGAGAAGCATCTGGTGCACATCTATTTCTGGGTGATAAGGATTGGGCAAATCCATTTTTAACGAATCAGATGAAGCAAATTTCTCACACATGCCTAAACAGCAATAAGTAGCACTTGTGTGTCTAGAAGCAGCCATCCTTTAAAGGTGCCCCAGTCCTTTTGCTGGAGAAGCTATGCCCATGAATATATCCTCTGCCCTAAAATCTGCTTTGTTTTAGTCAGGTGCAAGACTGCAGCTGCCAACTAATTTTGTGTATGTGCAATATCATTTTTAACTGCATGTAGGGATTTTCAAACATTTCTATAATAGCAGGGTAGTTTGCTTTTCCAGTAGGAGGCTGCTGAAAATGAGCTGATGCAGTTTAGTTGTCAGAAACATGTTTTTAAAAATGTATTTTGTGCATTTCATTTAAGTGAGAGAAGCTAGAGAACTTTTTTTTGGTACTGTGTCACTGGCATGCAATAAATAGAGCTGCAATGAGAAGCGACAGCCTCATTCACCTTGCATCCATGCAGAAATAACTAAGCCTTTTCCCTGTGTCTTGAAAAGGAAGAAAAAAAGGAGACTGAAAAAAAGAATTGACCTTGACTTGAAGTCGCACCCATACTAACGCATCTGCCCCCAAGAAATTGAAGCTTTCACTGGCTTTGTACTTTAATGCAATATTACCTCAACTCATTCAACAGAAGGTATGAGAACAGGCCTTCCTTCCCTTTCACAATATTGCTAGCAGTGGCAGGTAACTTGTTTTCAGCCAACAACATTCAAAAGACATCAACAGAACAAAAGAGCTGTTGTCTTTTTATAGATTATGAAGGCACTGGGTGCAAAATTAGCTATTTCTCACAGAACCTAGATTCTTAAGAATTTCTTAAGCAGACATTGCTGGTTGTAGGGCTGTATGTGTGAGGAGCATGGATGGCATATGTGCACATGTGTATTCTATGGATTTGCAATGTTTAGTCTTTTTATAAATACATGTTCAACTTTACCAGCTCCTGGTATGCATTTTTTGCCTCACACACTCAGTATTTCTTCTTTTCCATATAAGTGAAAGCCAAAGATGATTTTATTAAAATACTTGCATGTACACGGTTCGCCACCTACGAATTACATAAAATTTTGTAAATGATAGGTAGGACCCTACCTTCATACTAAGACACAAATTGTATTAACTCGGACAGATTCAGGTTTCTAACCCAACATTTAATAGCAAGACAAACTGATCCAAGGAGCTTGAGCCCCCTTTGTCTCTGATGTCCCTCTGGCAGCTTAACATGTCTGAAATACAAATAAGTAGCAATGCCTCCTGCATAGGATCTTGTGAAAGCACGGTAGACTTAAGGCATGCAAGCCCTACTTCTCACCTCACCCCATCTGCTACCTTAACTTCTGGTTTTGCTGCAAGTGAGCTTCCATCAGAAGACCTCTAGAACAGGGTCTCCAGATGTTTTGGCCTACAACTCCCATCAGTCTTCTTCACTGGATATGCTGAGATAGTTGGAGTTGTAAGTCAATATTTCTGGAAGGCCTCAGGATGCTTACCCTACTCTTAAAGGATTCAGTAGGGATTCAGCTTCCCTCCTCTTGTAGTTGTGGCCATTCCTTTTGGAAAGTACTTTAGCCCTGAAAGAGTGGCACTTTGGATTGCATTCTGTTTTACTCAGGATAGTGCTGATCTTGTTCTTTAAGACAAATGTACATGACTTTTTTTAAAACTTCCACACTAACTAAGTTTGCTCTGGTAAATGCTGGCATTTTCAGTGGCCCTCATGTATGGTGCTACCATTACATAATTGTCAGCTCAGAATTCAAGCTGTCTAAGAGCAGAATTTGGGTTCATTTAGCGGTTAACCTGTAGGCTTTTCTAAAGCTCCACAGCATATCATTTTAGTCCAAAACTGCAAAAAGGGAATTTACCTGTGAGTCTTCCAGCCATTAACACAAATCTATTAAGGTAATAAAAATAATAGTCTTACTGGATTAAGATACTAATTATTACTGGATGAGGTACTAATTAACTGAAAAGTTTCTATCACTTCCCTCTAGTCATATTTTTCTTTCATTTTAAGCAAATGAGTACTGGATCTTTTTCTAGATCATTTCAACATGTAATTCTGACCTTCCATTCTATAAAATTATGTTTCTGCACATTATCTCTGAAAAATTCTGCAATGCATTTTGCTTAATCGGATCTTTGAAGATATCCTATCAAGGCAACAAGGCAATCTGCCTGCGAGTATTCCTCCCCTTTCCAATACAGGCAGAGCATCAGCGTTTGTGTGTGTGTGTGTGTGTGTGTGTGTGTGTGTGTGTGTGTGTGTGGTTGGGTGGGTGGCTAGCAGGAGCAAACAATAACTGAAAGAGGAAATGAACTCCCATTCTTTTGGCCTGGGATAAGCATGTGGCTGCCTACCACTGCCTCAAATCTGCTGTTTCCCACCATCATCATCTGAGTTGCCAGTTCCATTTCCCGTAATGCTCCCCACTCCCATAGTGTCTCTTGGTCACTGCAGAGAATTTAAATGGAAGCTCAGACCCAGGTAAGACCTGGTGCTGATTGCAGCACTGCTGCTTCTGATCACCCCTGCCCCCTCCACCAGGTGAGTCCACTGGCCCAATGCCATGGGGGGGGGCTCACCAGAGGGTGGCAAGGGCCCCCTAAAACCTGAAGGCGGCCCTGGTCTCTGGCCAATTCAGGTATTGCTGTGTTGTAGGTGACACTGGGAGGATTTCATCTTGAGCTTGAATAGCATGCAGGACCCATTCCTGGGCCTACTTAGCCTGGGAAAAGATATTGTGCTTCAGAAAGCAAGGAGCTCAGAAGTGACCCACTGGGGGCAGTCCTAGTCCCAGTGCGTGTAGTCATGCTTTCCCTTTGCAGTGGTGCTAGAGCCCTTGTGCTGGCATCTTGGCAATGGACCCTTTTGATGGAAGCAACTGGTGGGTTTGGTGAAATCGTATCCCAAATATCAGAATGTGCCCTTAAGTACCATAAATGCATCTATCCTAATCATACAGTTCTGTTGGGTCCCCACAGGTCTGGATTTTTCTCCAGTGCCCTAGATCATGAAGTTCTCTGGATTTCTTTCCTCACCAGGTGGGTGATCCTTTTTGTATGGTAGAGGAGATTGGGGTGTGCCCTTAGGCAAATTGTACATTGTGTGTGTTGCCTATCATGTAAACCAGACCCCATTTGTATGGTTCTTCCCTCTCCAGGCAAAAGAAGGTGTGTGTCAATGCAGAGACCACTAGGGAGTCATGTATGGGTCTTGATTGAGCTACCAGACTCTTCTGTTTTAACCTTTGTGAACCAGCCTGAGGATGTTGCTGATTGGGCAGATAAGAAATGCAGTGACAAGAAGAAATAATACAATAAGCTGCTTTAGTATTTGTGTACTGGGGAGGAAAGGGGTGCATTTTCTTGATTTTTAAAAAAATCTGTTTAGAAATTTTGTAGTAGACTAAAGCATTTCTCCATAAATGCATTCTTTTTGTGAAGTTCACAGTTGCTGAGTTTATGCTAGTCTATTTCAAGAATGCATCCATACCTATAGGAATAATAAAACAATGGATTATGAGGGTGGGGGCTTTGTTTGTTTTGGTTTTTGGGACAACTAGAGAAGAGGCCTTTTACACCTCCCTAGTACTGGGAGCCCTACTTTTTGCCTCCACAATTTACCATCTTCTCTTTTTCTCTCAGATGCGCATACAGAACATACCTGTTCAGAATATTGGTCCATCTAGCTCAGCAGGTTTTTTCCCAGCTGTACCTGGAATTCCAGGGACTGAACCTAGAACTTTTTTTTTAGATCCAAAGTATCCATTTTTTCTGGCACTAAACTCTGCCTCTTCCCTGTTGCCCCACAGAGATGTCTATGAGAAGAAAGTAAAGTTTGCTAAGGATTTCACTGATTCCAGTTGATATTCTAGGTATGTGTGACCTTTCCATGAGATAATTCTCCCTGTTGACTGAATTCATTTAGCCCTTTGTCATGCATTAAAGGTGCTGCATCCTTAATGAACTTAGATGCTTTGTTGGATTGTTTTGTATTTTTTCCTCCACACAACTTTTTTTCTGTGTTAATTCCAAGGGCTCTTTTTTCCCATTACACATTCTTCACTTACCTCTTGGAGGCCCCATTTCTGCTTTTCATAACATTTACCAGTAGCTGTAAATATTCCAATAATAGACTAGCATTTGCTGCAGTATCCATTGGGTCACAATGACTAAACTCTGTCATTGGTTTTGCCTGAGAAAGACAAATGCCAGCTGTCATATTGCCTTAGCATCAGGTTACTTCCAAACGTAGCACTTGGTTTATTTTTAGTGGTTATGTGTGTAGATTTCTCTTGGTGTAAGTTTTGTCTGCTTCTAAGTGTACTCTGTTTTCAAAACTTCAGCATAAGTGCTGTCACATGCAAAATTTTGTATTCTGTCTTTAAGAGTACAGAGCATGAGAATGTATTCCTAGAGGCATGGAGACTTTATGGTCTGTCTTTAGTTGCAGATGATAATTTTGCTATGGGTCTGTGCCTGATGTGTAGTCATCTGCTGTACCACTTGGGGAAATACTGGCCCTGATACTTCCCTGCCATGAGAGACCTTCCAGCAAGTAGTTGGCTGCTCTGTGCAGAATATGCATTCAGCAGCCTTTGAAATCAAATGGGAAATTTGCCATTGATTTCAACAGAACTGGGTTTATACTCATACTCATTGACTGAATTGATTTACTACTAAATACTGCTACTGACTTCCACTTATGAAATGTGAGAACTGTACAAAGTTGTTATCCCTTGAATCTCTGCTTTACCCTTTTAAATATCCAACAGTCAATAGTTTTTTCCTCAAAATAAACATGCAGACTTCCAAAAATCATCCAAAGAGGCTTGGATTGATTAGGAAAAGGTTGAACAGTGTATAATTTTTAAAGGTTTTTATATTTTCTTTTCATTTCCTAGATTTAATTTTTCATAATGTCTTTGCTTCATAAAATTTTAATTCATATTTCAGCCTTTCATTTTTCAGATTTGAGTTTGTGTTCTGGAAAAAAATATTTCAGAGCAATTGAGGAATAGGGAACCTCCCCAGCCAAACATGGCTGGAGAGGGGATGAAGCCCATTCCCACCAAGGACCTTGTTGTTCCAAGAATCCATGGTGGGGGTGGCTTCTGCCTGTTTCAGCCTTTTTGTTTTGGTTGGAGTCAGACCTCTCTTGCAGTAAGCCTGCTAGGGAAGTCACCCACCCAGTTCCACAGGCCTTGTTGTCCCAAGGGTGGGCTTCCATCCAACTCCAGCCATTTTCCTGCACATTTTCCTTCTTTCCTTCCAATGCAATACCACAGAGGCAGTGAACCTATTCAGATTCATGGGCATTCCTTCAGTTTGTGAACAACACTGCAGTGGGCTGTCTCAAAAAGGACCAGTCTTTTAAGGAAATAGGGGCAGAGGAGAGATCCAGAAGAGGTACATGAAAGAAAGACTCTGGCTAGTTAATTCAAAGTACTTTTCATTCATGTGCATGTTGAATTTGATATATTCCCCCCACCCCCCGGGCTTGTTTCTTCATCTTTGAGGTGACCCAAAGAGGATGCAGGGGAATGTCATTACGAGCTCCCTAATTAAGGGCAGCTCAGTGCTTCCGTGCAGAGTAAGGACATGGGTTCGCTAGTCCTCCCTCTCCTAGCCATTGGCACACTGTTGCTTCGTTGCTGCTTGGCCGAGTGCAGGTGCCCTTTGGCCTGCTGTGGCAGAATGTAGGTGCTGATGCAGCACCAGCGACGCGCTGGCACTGGGTCTCCAGTCGTGTCACAGCTGCATCCTGCATAAGAGGACTGGGTGATTCCCTGTACCAAAGTCAGGAGCTCACAGCCCAGTCAAAGCTGTCTTCTGTATACTAGAGGAGTTTTCAGGCATTATATTTATTTATTCAACTTATATTCCGCTGTAACTAGTCCAAAGACTCTCTGAGCAGATTACAACAATTTTATATAAAATACCATCATAATATTGTATAAGAATATTATAGTATTCTTATACTATTCTTATATAGCATATATAGTATTCTTATATATTATTATAGTATAAGAATATTAGTATCATTAAGTAGTCAGTCTTCTTGTGAGCTGCCACTGTACTATTTTTTAAAGCATATTTAGAACATTTTCTAAACATTTTATAAATATATTAAATAAATAAATAGATAATTTAAGAGCCTTCTTTTCCATTTTAAGGCACTAAGGAATGGGTTTGGGCATTATGGAAGAGAAATCTTGACCAATTAATTCAACAAAGGCTGAAACCTTGTGCATATTTAACAGAGCGTAAGGCACATTACATACATTGCGATTTGCTTCCAAGAAAACATGAATAGGCCTTAGGTTGGCCATATACTCAACTTTTCAGATGGGTCTTTTATTTAAAGGTGTTCACTGTTTGAAATGCTGGCCAGTTCAGGCCCAGTCTGCAGATGAAGAAAGCTGTAAATGAGAGCAGGGGCTTTGAACTTGCCCCTTGAAAGCTAGCACTTGGAGGGCATACTGAGCAGGCATGCAGGTTGCTTGCTCAGTCTTCTGTATTATGGTGGGCGGTATTGCATTTTTGTTTAAATTATAGCAATTGGTCATAAATTGCATCTGTCCAGTCACATTAGAGTATGGACAGTTTTCGCATATCCTTGTTCTCTTTTGCCTCTTTTTGGGTGATATGTAAGTAGCTACCCTATTGCAGCTGCCCTCTAAGTTTCTTTTCAGCCTGCTGACAGCAAACAGCAACTTTTTAAATAAAAAGCCATAGATAGGTATGTATCAGTCTGTATTAAATATAGAGGAAGCTAATATTAGCCACATGGAAGAAAATTCCTAGTATCTACCTCCCTTGCAGAGCTGGGCTAGTTTGGGGGTTTTCATTTCAGCAGCGCAAGGAATTAGTCCTGTCAGTTTTGCACGGACATCATTTTCAAAATGTTTTTTCCCTTCATTCAGGTCCCATTTCTATGAAACAGCCAGTTCATTATTTCCAGCAAAAGTTGTCCATGTCATCCTTTTAAATTTGTTCCTTTTCCCTCAGTAGGGGGTTTTGCAGAGAAAGTCTTGGCACCCCAGTTCCCATTGATCAGCAGGAGAGAGAAGTTTCAAAGAGCTGGCTATGGCATTCCAAATTCATGTCTGCTTCTGAACGTAAAATTTGCCCCTAACCCTTCTGCTAGTACTGTAGGAAGAGAGGGTACAAAGAGAGCAAAGAATCTGAGGTTGAGAGTATTGGGAATGGAGGAAAGGCAGTTGTTATAAAAATGGATCATATCCTTGAAAGAGCTGGCTTCATGTTGTTCTGACTTTTCTGGTTGTTGTTAGCTTGGCTTAAGCAAAGCAAGGCTTACAATTCTGTTAATATATGTACTGCTTTTTATTTACTTTCTAGATGATTTTTCTCCCTCTGATAGTTTCATTATTAGGAATTCATTTGGTATGCATTGTATAGCTGTGGAACAAATGAAATTGTTTTGCATTTGGGCGATGCCATATGTATTTCTGAGAGAATTTAATTCCAACTTAGCATTAGTTAATGGGCATTTAAAATAAACTGTTAACATTTGGATTTCTGCTGATTTCTTTTGACTAATTGTTTTATTTGTTTAATATGGAAAACTATTATATCACTCTTAGTTTATGTTTCAGATGGAGAGAGGGTGGATTTTTAAGCAGTAATATGACTGGTAACAATTCTTGCAGTTCTTACACAGTTTTCATGTATGTCCTATGATAAAATAAGTCTATTGCTGCAAATTTCCAGGCATGCATAAGCAAGCATACAGGAATGCACTGCACACATGCAGAAGGACCTTTGTACACTGGGCTAAAGCCTCATGGTTTAATATTTACATCTATTTACTGTTGATATCCCACTTACCCCACAGTGATTTCAGAGCAGCTCACAGGTAGGCTCAGGTGGTCTCCCAGCCACACAGCACAGAAGCCAGTCCTGCTTGGTTTCACCAGTAGAAGTATACTATGTACTGTTAGGCCTTTTCCCATACATTATGTGTATTAACCAACAGAAACCTCCACTGGTTTTTATATAAACTGGGACAAGAATAAATAGATACTAGTTTCTTTTGAGGGAAGTGTGGAATTAGACTATATAATTCATTACTATTGCACATGCATGCTGGATGTGCTGTTAGCTAGGCTGGGCTGGCCTGCACCTCTTTCACACGAGCTGGATTAGGACTCCTATTTGTCAGAGGTGTTCAACCACTTTGAGCCTGAAGGCCAAATTACAATTTGGAGAAGCTCTAGTGGTGTGGCTCAGGCATAAGGGATGGGGCCAAAATACCTGAAATGCCTGCATATTTTGGTATGAAGTTCTCTTCTTCCTCCCCCTTCTCCTCTATTTCCATCTTCTCCTGCCGGAGGTTGAACATAATCATGGCAAAGCTCTCTTTAGATATGGTTGCTCTAAACAATTATACTGAATCATCTCTGACCCATTCTCTTATTTTTTAAAGCCAAGAAGTAGTTCTTCCTACATTTAGTTATCCACTTATTTTCCCTTGAATAGCTGCAGAAGTCTATTTTTCATTTCACATTATATGACCAGAATGCGCAGTACAGTATTCGGTGTATTTGGAAGCATTGACGCCAACCTGCCCCTGTCCAGGTAGAGATGCAGCCTAAGCTGGTAGGTGCTGGACATTTTCTCAGAGGCAGTGCACACCTCTAGTTATAAAGAAGGTTTAATGAATACCCCCTGACAAACACATTCCTGCCACCCTTCCCAGCACAGGGGGAACACCTGAGAAGATAAACCAGCCACTAATAAGAACCATTTTGCCTGGATTAAGATTCAATTTATTTGCTCTGATCTGTGAGGGCTAAAAGATGTACAGAATGTGAAACAACCTTGCATGAGACTTTCAGTTGAATCAGAAAGTGCTGTTTATTGAGATGATGCATGTCACAGGCAAAGGCTTTGTTTTTGACCATGCCCTAACTAAATTTTCATTGTTCAGTAGTTCAGTGTTGTATATTAATTAATGCTCAACTAGAACTTAAACAGGATTATAATGGAGCAGTGGAAGTGTTTCTGAAAGCTACACAACCAGCACATGAATTCATTATGACTTCAGCAGCTATGATGAATACTAAACAAATTCAACATGATATGACACTCACAGGCCAAATATTGCCTGTATCATAAACCATGGCAAACACACTTCTCACTATATTTGGAGGAGTGTGTTACCTAACACCTAAAAATGGACTTTATCCTCAAGTGTATATTTCTCTTACATTGACAGTCCTTACATGTGAATGCAGCTTAATTGCCTATCTGTCTCTTTCAAAGTAATGAGATGCACAAGGAAGAAGCAGTTGTAAAGCTGGTGTAAATATAAACGCTTCATAATGGAAATGTTCTAACTGTGGGTTGTCTTATAAAAGTGACAAGTAATTAATAAGGAAGGGCTCTGATTTAATGCCTGTGACATGAGAAGACAACAAAAGAGAAGGGAATTATTGAAAATATTCTTGTATATCAACATAATTCTCACACCTATTCAGAGTTCAGGCACTGATTTCTGAGATGTAAGAAGTATGTAGAAAAATGTTCTCAAGCTAAAGTCAATGTTGGTTTTAATCATTCTGAGTGATGTTGGACCTTTTTTAATAGAGTTGAATGCAATTACAGGATTTAGCCCTGCATAAAGTAAGTGTTCTGTACTATAGAGTAGATGTTTTCCATACACGGGAACTTGCAGCCTCTCTATACTGATTGAGCAGGTAGCAGAGTTTAGCTGCAACCCTGAATCTAACAGGGGGCGTATCTTGGGCTTTATAGCAAGATGCTTCTCTCTACTATGGCATGATGGACATGCTGTAGGATCATTGCAATTAGGCTTGGAAGATGGAGACCAGTCTGCATGGGTTGGTGGTGGTATTTGGTGCTAAGATGGCACTGCCCTCCCCCCCCCCCATGTTTTGTCTGCTGCACACTCATGCTATGTACCATCTGTAGTACTCCACATGCAAGGGGCAGCCTAGGATGTATGTATATGGAAAATTCTGTTTCCAGTTTTAATGCCACTCAGAAATCACAAATATCCCCCTTGGAAGTCTTTTGTTCTGTGAGCCAGTTTCTTCTTACAGTTTTCCTTACTGTTTCTGAAATGGCTTTTCATTCCTCATACCGTGGAGTAGTGCAGCTGAGGAATGCAGTCCATCGAGGGCTTTGAGCATGTTTAGAAAATCCTGAGAAGGAAGCCTCATGAAGGAAACTATCATAAGCCACCTTCCTCTCACCCCACGTGTATTTACTCTGTTGGTAGAAGCTTGTAGGCATGCAGTGTGTGGAGTTCAGGGATGTGGCCAGAAGGAACGGTCTTGCTCCTGGTCCACGCATGGTTTCCATAGACTTTCCCAATTGCTGAAAAGGCTGCTACTGGAGTTATCCAACAGGTGCCTTTGACACTCATGCCTATTGCAGTTACCCTATTAGCTGGGGTAAGAATTGCATTTACTCAAGAATTTATGGAGGGGGAGAAAGCAGTTTCTGAATCAGAGGAAATTAACATCCTTGAAATTAACACCCTGTTCTACAAAGAGATTATACAAAGACAGAATGCAACACATTTATTGTGTTATGCTGTAAATTGGTCATCTGTAAAATCTAAAATGTATCAGTTCCTTAAAAACTTTCTACAAATATTCAGGAATTTCAAGATGAAATGTAGGAAGTTTACAAACTAACTTCATGGTGGGTGGGTAGATAGTAGCAGTGCTAGTCTGTTGGAAAAAAGGGGGTGGCACTTTAAAGGCTAATACATTTGTTGTGGTACAGACTTTTGTGTGCCGGTGCACACCTGCCCATCTTATCAGATGCCTGAAGTGATGACACAGTGGATAGGTCTATATCCTAAGTTCAAGGAAAAGTGTGTGTGTGGAGTGGTGGGGGGAGGGGGGAAGGAGGCAGAAAAAGTAAGAGATGACCATGCAACACACAAAGGAAAAGGAAATCCAGTCAAAAGAGTGAAATATCTGATCAGAGTGGTTCACGTTCCCATCTGATGATTAGTGAGCAAACAGATGTGTACTGTGCAGATGAAGGACCATTACTTTGTGTCTTAGGGGAGCTACTCCCAGCTCCCACTAAAGTTTGCTAGTGTCAATTTGTTAATCAGATTACTTAATGTATCTGTGCGATTCCTGAGATTTCATTTTTCTGTAGAAATAGGTTGGCGAAAGTGACAGCTGCTCCCTTGCCATAGATGAAATTGCTGTTTATGTCATGCAAAGCATATGTATGTATAGTTTGACTGTTGCCTGTGAACTGCCATGCAAATTTAGACCCAAAGACCTAAGTAAGAACTATTTACTTATTTATTTATAAACTGCCAAGTACTTCAGATAGACTGTCTAGGTGGCATAAAACAGCAAAATTACAACTAGACAATAACATTAAAACCGTCAGTAAAATATAAATAACAAATTGATGTTAATAATAATTTTACCATGATTATTCAAATAACACGTCCAGGTGAGATGGACAAGAAGATTTACTAAAATTACAATAAATTAATAAACATCTAAAATTAATTATTAAAATCAATTATTAAAATTATTAAAATGACACTGAAATGAAAGCAGAAATGGGCAGCCACCAAAAAGACCCTTCTTCTATTTACCACCCCCTTACCTCCTTGATGGATGGCTCATTTAGAAGAGCCTTTTGCCCAGATCTTGAAGGGTGAGTAGTCATATACAGAAGAAGGTATCCAGACCCTAAGCTGTTTAGGCCTTTATATGTTAGAACAAAACAATTCCTCTGTAGTAATCAAATAGTAATTTCTGTAGTAATTTCTTTGGAAAACTAACTTCTTTCTTATTTGATTGTTGCAGGAGTAAGTGTCTCATAGTCCATCTATTAATGTCAGAAGGTGAATTTCTTTTTTTTTTTTTACTTAAGTTGATTAGTGCACAAAATGTTGTCAATGTCTTTTTTAATGTTGCATGTAATGACAACTGTTGAATTCTTCCCAAGAGAAGTGCAATTTTTTAAAAGTGCCCCTTTAACTTGACTGTGTGTGTGTGTGTGTGTGTGTGTGTGACTACTGCTTTATGTGTATGTTAATACCTACTCTCAATAAATGCAATTCTGATTGAAAAAGAGTTGTGCAATGGATAGAATACTTGGCCTATCACTGTTTAAGTAGAACATTAAAGAAACTCCGCTGGCTTCCCAATATTGTAACTGTTTATTTTAGGAACTAGCTCTACCCATCCCCATTTTGAATAACACAAACCAAAGCTAAAGGTGTTGAACTAATTCCTACTCTAGCAGATGGGTGCCTAGTACTTTCTAAGATGTTTTGGCGGCCCTAAAAAGAAAAAAAATAATTGGAAAAGTATAACTTGCAGTGCTAGTAATTGTTGCTATTAATGTAATGACCAGTGGACAACACGTTAATGTAATCTGCCTTTTACACTAGGAGTCCACTTGGTCTAGAAGCCGATTCTCCACAAAAGTTATTTGAGCACAGCTATTTTTATAAGCTCACCTGCCCACATATGTCTACGTTAATCATTTGTGATTGTGCCACCTTGACCTAGAGATAGTAAACCTGGGACTGGGTTGTAGCAGTTCAACCTGCAGATAAGGGCTCAAGTGATCAAGGACTGCTCCATACAATAAAATTCTGAAAGAGAAAAGCTAGCCTGTCAGGGAGAAGATTGGGCACCAGCAGCCCTTGCCCTTGGCATGCTAATTTTCTGTGTGTGGACAGAATTTTACTTTGTGGAAGTCAGCCAGTCATTTGTGCACCTGCCTTCAGTCTGAACTGGTGTTGCCCAGGCACAGGCTGGCCAGCCAGTAAGAACAAGGTCCTTTCCTCAATGGAATGACGAAATAACCCACTTTCCTTGGTTTTGATGGAAGGCTCCATGCCTACAGCTCCTCACATGAGGGGTTTAACTTGCTGCTGTGTGGAGGCTTCTCCCACTTTCATTGTGGAGGAAGAGGGCATTCTTTGCACAGGGTTTATATCTCCCTACCCTTCTGTATGCAGTTGAACCTTGACTTTTGCTGGTTTAACTTTTGCGGATTTGGTTATTCATGAGTTTGCTATCAATAATTAAATGGAGCTCTCTTTTGGGAGTTTTGTACCCTGTTGCAGAAAATTGCAGACAACAGGCATATAAATGCCTCTATGTAAGGGTATTTTTCTGAAACATACTTCCTTGTTCCATATGTTATTACCATCTATAACGACCTTTTTATTTAACCAATAAAGACCTTTTTATTTAACCAATATTTTAAAGTTAGTTAATTTTAATGCTATATTTATTTATTTAATTCATTTTAACTACGTTATTTTATACTGTCATGGTATAGCCAATTTATTTATTTGTTTAGGACTGGTAGGTTTTAATTTTTGTAAACCAACTAGAGAGCCCTCTGGGCTGCTAGGGTGGTATATAAATGCAAATAATAAATAAAATATATTTATTTATATAAGACAACTGTTGAAACAAAAAATAGGAAAGCAAAAATTCTAAAATAGCAAAGCAGAAATTGGGGGTTGTCTTATACACAGGTATATATGGTATAACAAGAAAAAAGAAAGGGAAATTTGTGAAACTATTGCTGCAGCTACACCAGTGGGCAAAAAGATACGCAGAGAGAGTGAGAGAGAGGGAAGCAATTGAGTACATGTATCTTCAACAGTATTAAGAGTTAATATGTGTGGGGAGAGGGTAGAGATATCCATGGTGTTTCCAATTTTGCATGGGACCTAACCCTAACCCCTGGAATATGTAAGACCAACTGTATTCTGTTATCCAACCATAAGGTGGTACTGTGTTATAATTGCACTACAGTGGACTTTCTCATTTCATGAGGCTTCTGTTCCAATTTGCTGCAATTTAAAATTTAATACCAGATTTTCCTTGCTCTTAAAAAAATAAAAATAAAAAAGTGAAAAGGGTTGGAAGGCTTGGGAGAGGTCCTAGAGCCTCAATCTTTCCATAGCTGGGGACTGACAAAAACAGGAAAACCACCTCAGGGACTGCTGAGGGAGAAACAGAAAGTGCCATACATATAATATTTTCTGTATTAGTTTCTAAACAGAATACCAAATAAAGAAAATTATCCAAAACAACCAGAAACCAAACAACAAAAAATGCCAACAAAAGAACAAAATCGGTGCGGCATGCCTTCCAGCTGGCTCCCACCAAGCTGTCTCTCCTCTCCCTGCCCCACCACCCCTGACAGCACCGGCACACCCCCTGCAAATGTGATGCCAACTGAGGAAGAGGTGGTGGAGCACAGCCAGCCCCCGCGCTGGTCGGTGGCAAGTGGGATGTGGCCCTTCCATGGACTGGCAGGAAATCTCCCACAGACCGGCTCTGGTCTGCAGACTGGTGGTGGAAAACCTAGAGGACCAGAATGTCAGGCAAATGGCCTGCAGACTTCCACAAGTGAGGGATTGTGAGAACACTATAAATGCCTCTTGTGGAGAAGTCCCCAGTTGCTGACAGACAATTCTTGAGTTGGCACAGGCAACTCAGCAAGTGTTTACTGGTATAAGGTGAATGTGGGAATGGGTTTTTCACATTCCAGAGGCTGAGCTTGGAAGCAACATAAGCACATTCTCTTCTGTAGACTGTACTCCTAAGAGTAACTTGAGCTGATTTGGAACTGCTGTTCATCTGAAAATAAACTGATCTCAGGCTGCATGAGGGGCTGTGCATGCAAGCGGGTGGCTTCCAGGGTACATCTACCATGTGAGCATGTACGGATGTTAGAGCCAGGGCATGTTTTGCTTCTTATGTCGGTTTTAAACATGAACAATTTTAATTTCCTAATTTGTATATGGGAACATTATTGTGCTATTTCGTTTCTCTTTAAAGAAAACAAAGAGGAAACGTTCTTTGGGTGTACCCATTATATAAAAGATAATGTGCATCTTTTAAAGTGGCCGCAACCACTTTAGCAGGGGTCCTCTGCCATGCTTTGTGTACTCTGATCCACTTCATCTCTTGGCAAACTCTTTGATGCAAGAAGGCGGTGGTTTGTGATTTTATAAAGAAGGGTAATATTTTTTTCCCTGCAGAACCATATCCTTTGGGATAAAAGTTTGTGTAGTCTCTTTTTTGCACACCTTTTACTATAACCCACCAAACGCCCATGAAAATGTAGCATAGCTGTGATTTAATAGCTGTCTTGTAAAGACGGAGTTTTTCAATGCATCGGTGTAAATTTTCATGGCAGGAAGTCATCCTGTAGTGGCCATGGCAAGAGTGTGCAACTTCTGGGAAACAGTTCCCTGTGCATACGCAGCCAGTGCTGCTCTACACCTCTGCCTCTGCTGCATCTTCAGGTTGTGCACTGCTGGGCCATGGAGCTTGCAAGGTCACCCTGTAACCTCGGGCCTCTCCGCCCTTCAGCCAAAATCCCCACAAGGTGGTTTGAGGGATAAAATGGCATCCTGCACACCACTCTGAATTCTCTCGACAAAGCTGAAACGATACTAATCCTAGGATAGCTTTAAAGAAGGAAAAAGGAAACACCACCTGTCTTTACCGTCTGTCTTTCTCATAACATTTCATGAAGGGTAGAAATGATTCCTCCTGGAGGTTGCTGCCAGGCACCCCAAAAATGCATTTGTTGAAAGTTTTGATAACCCCCACATGGGCGCAGCAAAGAAGGTGTCTTTTGATTGTTGCACCAAAGGTCACATAGCGTTTCTTGTTTCCTGCAGCATGACACAGCGTCACAGAACAAGTATTTATCTTGTGTTCCTGTCGGTTTTATCCAAGGAGCTCCAGGTTGGTGAAATACTACAGAATATGCCACTGGTTGTTTTCTTGAGGGACTTGCACTGATTTGTTTTAAGTGTCACAGGCATCCTGTAAATATTTCTTTTGTTAAGGTTGAAATGTTGCCCCTGCATATGTTTGAGTGTGTGTATAGTGGAAGTGGGAAAGAGAGAAGTCTGAGCATAGGCTTGTTTAAACCTGAAGGATCTTCCCCCACCCCTCCACAAGCACATACCTCATATCAGCATATCTGCACCGGTGTCTTTTCATGGCATCAGGTATGGGCAGGCTATTACAGTGAACTGCGTTTCTCCAAGCTGCCACCTGGGTGTGCATTTGTGATAGAACTGCCAGCGCATGTGGTATCCTGGAACAGGATCTAGTCGCAATCACACAAATGAATTTTGACTCTTGATGGGGTCAGCGTAGCTGTTAATTATCTTTGTGAGTCACACATATGAGGCCTTGCTGTGAGAACTTCTCTTGCTGTGTAGCTTTTTCCCCTCTATTTTACCCATAACATATTTGATGCCTAAGCAAAGATAGAAAATGTGCTTTTTCTATCCTCCATAGGCCAAACTATCTGGAACGCCACAAGGAATTCACTCTGATAGGATGCCTTGTATTTTCGCCTTTTAAATATAAAGACATCGTTTCCAGCTGTTGTGCTTTCTGGATAGCAAAAATAGCTGGAAAGGTGTCATTTCTGTAAAAGTCTGGCTTATCTTCTGAACCATAACTTCTATGGCCTGTTCAGATCCAAAAACTCCATCTGTAATTTTTCCCCAGAATGTAGGTAAATCTGTGCAGAATCCCAAATTCAGCCAAGGTGACATATAGCAGGATCAAGTCTGTCCCCCAGGGGCCCTGTTACCTCCTGTTTATCTCTTCCATTCCATCAGCTAATATACCCTGATCTTGTTTGTCAGAAGGCAATCTGCTGTGATATTGTATTTGCGTACTCGTGGGCATGAATGTGGATTTAGGCCTCCAGTTACCAACTTAACTCACTGTCAAGATTCAGCTAAAAAGCCCTATCATGCAAGAAGATAAAAATAAAATGCAGAACTTGTATGGCTATCATGTAACAGCAAGCACATAATGAAATATATTTCTCTGAAGTTGTTTTCTTTGTTGCTCTTGCAAACCTGTAAATGGCAAATGTATTGCATATTTTAATGTTGTTTAGCTTTACAACTGCCATTACAATTTAAATTAGCTAAATTAGATGGCTTCCTTAAACACCAGGCTTGATTTAATTTACAGTTAGATGTTTTATTTATTTAGTCATTTCAATGCACATGTTTTGAAAAAGGAAGGTTTTCCTGTCTGGGCTGGGGGATGGTTGGTTGCTGCTGAAGCTCCTTCTTTTTGCTATTTTCTTTTTCTTTTTAAAAAGTTGATTATATTAATATTTGGGACAGAACATTGTTAATGAAAGAAAGGAAAACTTAGCCGGTCATCCAGGCTGTTTATCATCCAGCTGGAAACTGAGTTCCTCATGTGACAACAAAAAGTCACAGTCTTTTTATTTTTTTGGTGTGGATACATTACCAATCATACAGATGCAGGCACTTCTTCAAAGTCTGTGAGTTCAGTAGGATATTTTGTATCATAAATATAGGCTGGGCACTGGGTCATTAATTCTGGCTCAGCATTACCAGCATCAGAACAATATAAGTGTAATGCGGGACCAAGCTGGCAAAGGGGAGGCAGACTTCCCATTCAGTTTTTCCATGGGCAGCAGGAAGCCTCTGGTTTCTGAAAAGTGCCATTTCTTCATGGATCCTTAGGTGGGGTTATATAATCCCTAAACTCACCATTTGACAGCTGTCAAGTGAAAGCAAAGTAACAAATGAAACTATGTACTGCCTTGCTTTTAACAGTGTCCATGGATATTACTCCCGGTACTTTGACAGGATAGACTTGCCCCAGCCTTGACTGGACAAGACTTTGTATTTTGCTTAGTCAGAGATGTGCATTGCTCACCCCTGAACTACTGACCTCCCCAAAATAATAATACCAATATGAGAAAAATGTTTGTGCATATTTCCAGTGCCTTAAAATTAAATCAAAAGGTTGAACCAGTGTTCCATCTGGACACTGGGCACTGGGGGACATTGCAAACAAAAAAGCGGGGAGGCAGTGGCAGTGACCCAGAAGGGGCCACAATCAGAGCAGGGGGAAGAGACAAAATTTTCAACTGGGATATTAGTGGGAAGACCAAGAGGGAAGGAGGGGAAGTGCCGCACATTGTGTAGCTACTCTCAACCTGAGCTGCAAAGTGAGTTCACTGTATGGATTGCACCTGGAAGATAAATCCGCATTTAAGTTGACATGGATGGATTCATACACAAGGTGTCTTTTCAGTCACCTTCCAGGCATGTCAGAGGCCCCAGTTAATTTGGTCTTATGAATGCTTCAGCACATGCTCTTAATTACAGGCAAAGAATTGCCTCTCACTAAAGGAAAAGAAGTTCTGGTAACAGTATCAGGAATCTTCTAGTTGACTTCTCCAGTTGAGCAGGTTTGGGCCACCATTGCTTTCTATGCCTGTGTTGCCATGAAAAATAATACTCTACATATTCCCTGAGAATTGTCTTTTCATCAGTTATTTGCATATTAATATTTCAGTTTGACTGTTTTACCAGACAGATTGGTGACCACATGTTTGGGGCTTTGCCTTGGGCCAAATGATCATATATTCAGTTTTCAATTTGCTGGGCCTGGCAATTATCTGGAGTGGTTTTGTTAATTATTTAGACTGATAGGTAACTAGCCTGGAGGGAGGAGAACTAAAACTGCTCAGTTTTATTATGCAACCAAGCCTTATTATTGCTGATGCCTCAAAAGACAAATCAGGAGCGCAGAGCCATGTGATGAGAGCTGGGACTGTGTAAGAGAGATAAAGGTGCACAAGGAACTCTTGGTATAACTTACCTGAGCTATTGGCTGCCTTTCCCTTGGCATGACCAAAAATGGATGGCTTATAAATGCCAGACTGCCAGCATGGATGCTCATGCATTACTGGAGAAAATGCATGGTATCTAAAAGGAACCCTGTTTTGGCAGCCACTGGTTGGTCACTAAGGTATTCTGTTATTCATGGATGTGTTTAAGCAACTTTAAAATAAATTGACAGACTTTGTCTTTTTTAAAACCCAGGATGAAAGAGAGAAAGCAGGTGAAGTGAAGTGTTCTCTGCTACTTGAGCTACTGCTGTTGGGGTGTATGAATACAGGTTTCAAAGTTACATGGAACTCTCTTCATGCGGCACAGGCGTACTTTCACCTCATTACAGTGTAGTGTTGTCAATCCAGTGAAAATTAATTTTTGGTAAATGGTCCAGCTGCATTAACTACTGCAGCCACTGTACAGACAGACCACAACTCCTTTTATGCCCATCAGACACAGAAATGTACAAAAAGTAATGCTGAAAGTATTATCTACTGTATCTGCAGATTTGCTTAAATTAAGTACCATAATGCATATATTTCCCTGCATGTTAATTTGTTGCATTGCTTATCAAAGTGAATAAAGTGAATAAAGGGGGGCAGAATAATATTACCTACCATTGTGTATATGTTTTAATCCTATGTTTCATTCTATATACATCTAATAGACATAATTGACTTGCAATATTCAGTGCACAGTGCATTGCACAATTTTCTGCTCAGAAGTAAAACTGTACAAAGCAAAACCTTAACACTGCAGGCCTGGGCGAAGTGTCAAAGGAAAGAGTACAGTGAGGATGCCACTAGTAAGTGGAATATTATCCACACTAAGGAGAACTGTAATGTCTCAACTGCAAGCATGGGTCTTAATTGAAATAGAGGTGTGCCAAGGCCAAGGAGCAGTGGCCACAGCTGAGGAGCAGGTACTCCAGATCCAAAAGGATCTGGACAGACTATGGAAGTGGGCAGGAGACAACAGGATAGCCTTCAATGTGGATGAGTGCAAGGTCTTGCACTTGGGGCATAGGAATGGGTGTCATAAGTACAGGTTAGGGGACAAGTGGCTGGAGAGCAGCACTTGTGAAAGGGACCTCGGGGTCCTGGTTGACTGCAGGCTAAACATGAGTCAGCAGTGTGATGCGGTGGTCAAGAGGGTGAACGCCACCCTTGGTTGCATAGCCAGAAGTGTGGCTTCTAAATCAAGAGAGGTATTACTACCACTTTATACGACTCTGGTGCGCCTGCAACTGGAGTATTGTGCTCAGTTTGGGGCCCCTCATTACAGAAAGGATATAGCCAGGTTACAGTCAGTGCAGCATAGGGCCACAAGGTTGGTGGCCGGTTTGCAGGGGATGCCGTATGAGGCGAGAATGAGGGAACTGGGTCTCTTCAGCCTGGAGAGGAGGAGACTCAGAGGGGATGTGTTGGCGACATACAGGTTATGAGAGGGGATGTCACATGGAGATGGGTAAAGACCCGTTCTCCCCTGCAGAGGAAGGCAGGACACGCTCTAAAGGAGAAAAGCTCAGGGAACCAAGGTTCCATTTGGATGCCAGGAAGCATTTCCTAACAGTTAGGACCCCGAGGGTGTGGAATGGGCTTCCACAAGAGGTCGTTGAGGCCCCATCGGTGAGGGTGTTCAAGGATAGGCTGGACGTCCACATGGTGGGCATGTCGTGAGCGGAGCTGGCAGGTGCCGGAGGTCAGACTAGATGGCCCAGGAGACCCCTTCTGACTCAATCTGTTTCTATGTTTCTATAGTTCAAAGTGCTCTCAGAGAACAGTGACAGATTAAGATACCAACTATCTCAGACTGCAATCCTAAAGTTAATTAATTTATTTATTGCAAGCATTTATATTCCGCCCTTCCACAGAAGCGGTCAGGATGGCTTATATAATATAAAATTCTAAAATACAATATTAAAACTGCAATTATTAAAACATTTAAAATTGAACATATGAACTAAGAAAAAAAGGAAATTAAAATACTTACTTGGCCAGCTGAACTCTGTGGGAATTACTTTGGAATACACAGATGCAGAATTGTACCAGTGAT